AAAGTACCGGCTTCAACCATGTGGCAGAGTAGCTTATTCCATGCCCCCACAACCCTTTGGATAAAGAAGTGCTATCTGTTCAGGTTTAAATACATTTTTATAAAGTTTCCACCTGTATAATCTGCATTTGGTGGTTCTCATATAGAATAAACAGTGAAACATGAGACAAAGATGTTTTTGACAGGAATGCCTGTCAAATACAGTTAAGCTGAAAGAGCCACAAACTCAGAAGGAGTCAATTACTTACTTAGCTATCCATCACAGAAAGGACTGAATCGAAAAAAATAGAGGCAACATAAAAGTCCTTTTGACACAAATTATAGATTTACCCAACTCTTAATCTAACATGACTCTCTGACTCTCGAAACAATTACTGAACTTTAGGGTGTACTTGAAGAAAATGTTGTGCAGAGTGGTAAGACTGGTGTTCAGGGGTTGCTAGAGTACTTTTGGAAGAGGACTGTAAATCATTTTCTTGAATGTGGTGATTCATGGAACAAGCTGTGAACTCATGGGGTGCATGTTTGTTAGCCTGGTCTTTCCTGGCCAGCACCACACAAACTGGTTATTGCAGTATACTCTAAGGAGACCATCCTCTGTTTGTGTGGCTGTCATCCCTGCCACATCAGTCTCTTCTTCACAGCCTGACACACCAGTGACTATCCACTTAACAGCCTGACACAACAGTGACTATCCTATGCATAGCCTAAAACACAGGGCCTGGTCTGTCCATCTTTGACAACTAGAATTGTAAACCGAGAATTAAGGCTTTGGCTGTTGAAGGGCAGTGAAAGGATATGATTCTGTGGCCAGATCCACATTTAGAAAAGCCCAGGGATTACTTTGGTTTGTTTCTGCCCAGGGAGTGCTAGCTATGTAAGTTTTTCACAGCGGTGAAGTATGGGCGAGAGTCTGGGAACAATGAAGGGAATTCACTTTTTTTCCTACTTTATTTTCCTTTTTTTTTGTCCTGATTGATCATTTTTAAAATCCATCAAGTTATTCATAGTGTATCATCTGTGGAAAGATTAGGAGCTTTATTTTGTCTGTGAACAAAAAAACACCTAAATTAGGCAGCGTCTGGTTGGTTTATTTCTGTATGTGGTTGTTTACTTTGCCAAGAACAGTTTGTGAGGGCTTGCTGTGGCTTTCTCTGTGCCGGTCCAGAAACGGCCTTGATTTCAGTGTGGTGTGGCTCCCTGCTGACACCAGCTCCGGATCCCCAGGCAGGCAAATACTGACTCGCTAGCACAAAAGCGTGAGCGTCACATGGGGCAACTTGCTAGTCTCTCATGAATTCCAGCTCCTTTTATTGGGTCCTTGTTCTGTTTTCTTACAGATTAAAATAATCCTTTAAAACAGAGAATTAGGATTAGGTTTTATTCTGACGTGAGGGCTCTTGAAGTTGTTTCTCCCCATGTTCCTTATTATGATGCAAGACTATATGAATGTAAATTGTGAAATAACTGTGTCAGTTTGCAGAGAGTCAAATAAGAACATAAGAGGATAGGTTGCAAAGAAGGGCATTTGGTAGGTAGTAGTTAATTGTTCCAAGGATCTCATCCAGCAGTTCCTTGAAAGAAACCAAAGTTTCAACTTCAACAACCTGGTAGAGGTAGAGTAGTTTTTTCCATGCTCCCACAGCCCTCTGTGAAAAGAAGTAGTGAGTTGCTCTAGGGCTGGTTTGCTCTTTTTTTGTGAAGTACTTATAAAAGTACCGCAATTCCAAACAACAATGAGACTAAATAAAAGTGGAGGACCAACATAACACTTTTCTATGTTTTATATAATTTAATAACATTTTTATTACTATATGTGGACCTTTTATTCCTCCGTAACATGTTTGTTTAAAAATAAGTTTTTTAATCCTGTTAAAACTGTTTGAGGCTTGCTTGAAGCTTGTTTTTTAATATCACGAGGATGAGGAGCATGTTTTTAGACAACCTAGACTTTCTGCTGTTGAAAACATTTATTATTCTTGTCTTTTCCCATAGAAAACAACTTCAAATAATCAATAAGGCTAAAACTAACATGCGGGCCTTGTGCTTTCCCACATCCCACAATTCCCCCCAGATAGATAAGACAACATCGTTTGAGACCCCAAATGCTTACACTTGTTCGGCCCTGTGTGCAATTTTATATCAGAAGTAAACAAGTCGGAGAAAGGCTAACTAACTGCTAACCTAAAATAACAAAGATTAAAAGTTGAGTTTACTTTCTGGGAATTTCATCCAATTCCATCTGCTCACAGAGGAAGCAGCTGTTTGCAGGGTTTCCACAAACAAAAGCATGTTTTGGTTGTTCCTTCCAGTGTGAAATGTACTGCAGGCTCCAATACTAGTTTCTGAATTCCTTATCACTTCTGTGGGTCACATCTGGAGAAACGTTGCTTGAATGACTGGTAATCCTGAGTGGGAAAGGAAGAGATTTAAGAAGGGTCCTGCAATTACACATCACCACAGCAGTTCTTAATGACACAGCAGTAAGAAGTGATCAATGTCACTGTAGCATGGCTTCAAACGTTCGTATTTCATACAGCTCTTGGTTGATCTTTAATTCACCTGTGGGTTTGCTATTCATGTTTGTTGTATTGCACCTTATCTGCTACATAATTTGTTTCACTTTGTTGTATTGAAAACTTTTTATCTCAAAAGTTATGCAACTAATAGCTTTTTGGAGTATGAATGTTTTTACATGAAAAACATATTTTCAACAAAGTTGTTAAAATAATAGTGTAAGGCAAATATACAAAGAGAAGCATGTTTTCCATTTAGCTGCAAATGAGCTGACAGTATTGCTCATACAGTAATCTCGGTCACAGACTGTAAAAACATTAAGATAAATGCTATGTGTTATCAATTTTTAACTTTTTCAGTACTGAATCCATGTTATCAAGCACATGATCAGTTAAAATAATATTTAACAAGATCTTGTTTAAAGGCATTCCTCTAAAACAGAAACCAAGATCATGTCAATTAAAACAGAGGTTTGTAAGGCATGTCCATGTGGTAAAGAGACAGGTCTTTGTGTTGGCAAGTGAGGCCTTAGCCCATGTGAAACGGCTGCCTGTGTAAAAGTAGCAGGACGTCAGCAGACAAAGCCAGTTTTGTAAGGCTCTGTTCACATAAAGAGCCTGTTTTGCACCACTCTTGCAGACTGCTGCTGAAGTGCTGTACTGAGCTCCATTCAGAGTGGGCTTGTCTAAATTGAAACGGCAGGAGTGTCCAGTCACTGTGGGCCTTTCACCCTGTCCAGCTCGTTATTGTGCATGAAATTGGGCTCAGCCTCTAAAGTGTTGCGTGAAAACCTTTTTTAGACACAAATAAAATGGCATGAAAGAAATCGCCTGAAAGTGAGTATGGTGAATTCACAAATTCTTTTAAGGTTTAAAAGTCATAGGTTACTCCCTCTTCTTTTTTGTTTTGACCAAGCAGTTCATTTCACTGTCAGGGGAGTGTTTCTCAGTGTTTCGGAGGGTGGAGCAGCAGTTGTAATGAGGTTGTTTTGAAGTAGTTGAAGGTTTGTATCTCGTGTTAAGATTTATGATTTACTGTATACTGAAACTGTTGGAGCAAGCATTTTGGGCTATGGAGATCCTGATTTATGTTTATTGTGTACAAGCAATATTTTGCAGATGTTTGACTGAAGATGACGCTATTATCTTCTATAACAAATTTGTCAAACCACCTTCTTAAAATGTTACCAATTAATGTAAAAGAGTATGAATCTCATAACCTGATCAGGAGAGCCTGTGTATATTTCAACTGAAACTATACTTCCATGAACTGCCAGAGTAAAATTTTACAAAGTCTGACCGTTTTGCACAGCAGTGCACTGCAGAGCCTTGTCAGCTGTCCAGATGTGCAGTGGTTTGTCAGAACAGAGTGTGAGGGGGTTTATTTTGGTGAGAACTTTCATTTGTAAAGTCAGCTGTGTGCCCAGAGAGGGAACAGTGGGGCTGTGTGCGTAATATTATCTTATCTGAGCTTTGAAAAAAATCCCTTATGATGTATGGCAGACAACCCAGCTCAAAAAGACAGTATCCAGGCTTGGTTTGAGGAGTGGAAACTTTGAACTCAATTAACCCTTTGTACCAGCTGTGTGGTCGGCAAAGCTCTCTTACCATGGCAGTTTCATTCCTGTCAAAAGGAACAGAATGTTCTTCGCTCTGTGCTGGAGTAAAAATTCAAAATCCAATCAAAACGTACGGCTGATGATGATGATTACAGTCATTGCAGTTGCAATCATGGACTGTGGTGCAGCACACCATGTACTCCATGTACGTTCAAAAGAATACATTTCAACAACAATCAAAAGCTGTCTTTGAATTGTACAAATCTTTCACCCCTAGTCCCCATTGTTATACACCATTTCAGAACTCCTAACAGGACAGTTAAGACAGAATTATAAAATCGTAAAATAGCTCTCAGAATCCCTTGTATTAGCTGAAGTCCAGTAAAAGTAGAGGAATGTTAAGTCAGGCCAGCAAAGAGAAAAAAAAGATTTTCAACACCTTACTTATGCAGTAAGGGTGGCACAGTGGTGCAGTGGTTTGCCTTGCTACCTCTTTTTATGTTCACATGGGTTTCCTTCAGGTGCTCTGGTTCCCTCCTGTAATCCAAAGACATACTGGTTGGTCAGTTGGCTTCTGGGAAAATTGGCCCTGGTGTGAAAGCGTCTGGGTCTATGTACCTTGCTATATGGACTGGCGTCCCGTACAGGGTGTACCCCAACTTGTGCCTATTGCTTGGCAGGATAGCTTCTATCTCCCCAGTGACCCTGTATTAGGTAAAGTGCTTAGAAAATGGATAGTTAAACTTGCATTTATGTTTAATGTAGTACGTTAATCTTCCAAAGGATGGAGGAGTCACTGTGGCCTGCATTATCTTTAAGTGGGGTTTTGTGTGGCTGTACACTAGTGTTCGTCAGAAGGGTTTAGATGTCCTAGAGTTTCGGAAAGGGATGCTGACTCTCTGTGCCATGCTCCTCTGCCCCCTCAGACCCTCTACGCCACTCTGCCTGGCCTGCTGGACAGCAACCCCTTCTCTGAGAGCGGGCAGCTCCGCATCCCGGAGGGGGTCAGCAGCATCCTGGACATCCTGAAGGAGACCCTGCAGCTGCTCAATCAGTACCAGCTGCACGCGGAGATCGCCTCGCAGCTCTTCGCCTATCTCTTCTTCTTCACAAACGCCTCCCTCTTCAACGCCCTGATGGAGCGAGGTGAGGATGGGTGCCCCCTGACCCACGCAGATTCACAACACTCCTGCCTCAGCCAACTACAGGGAAAACAAAAAGGAAGTCCTTAATGTTTTAGGAGTAGAGTAGAATAGTGAGAAGCAAATGTTTTAATATTTCCGTAAAATCAGGGAATCCTTTGTTAGTTAGATTCTTAGATCATGGCTGAGATAAGAATGGTCTGTTATTTTTTCTATAGATCAGTCGCACCTACAGAGAAAATGAAGGGGGGGGGATGCAGTTTCATTTTTGGTTAAAATGGTTGTTTTTCTTACAGATCTAAAAATGTGTTCTTGACAGTATTTATTGAGGCCACAGGAAAGAGGGAGTGTTTCTGTCTGGAAGGTGAGAAGTTCCTTCTGATTCCGTAGTGGCGCTGTCTGAGTGTCTGTTTCTTGTCAGGCTCTGGAGGGGGATTTTATCAGTGGTCCAAAGGGGTGCAGATTCGCGCTAATCTGGACCTGCTGATTGATTGGATCCAGGGCATCGGGCTGGGGGACCTAGCTCTGGACTTCTTTCAGAAGCTCTCCTCGGCCGTTAACCTGCTGGCCACACCCAAGGAGAACCTGCTGCAGGTAGGACCCATTGACTGAGTGGTGCACTCCTGTCCTCCCTCAGAGCTGTCTATGTCTATATGACATATATATGTCCATCTCAGGATCAATGCGGGAGACAGGCAGTTAGAGACTCTTAATTGCTTTCTACATGCCTAAAGGGATTGGAAACACATTGGAGAGGATTCAAGCTTTGAGGAAAGAGGTCTTGGGTTTTATCTAACCACATGTATTACACAGAGGAATGTATTTCTGGTCAAGTAGCTGAAAAATTGGAAACTAATGAATGTAGCCAATCAGGGGTGGCAAATGTAAATCAATTCTCATTTAATTATTTACATTTTCTGGGAAGAAGCAGATATTTCATTTAATCTTGGATTCAAGTAATTTTGTTGTGCACTATTGATCTTATTTTTTCCCCAGTTTTAGCAAAGGCATAAACTGCTTGAAATAATCTTGGCTAATGGTCAATAATCCAGAGAATACTCCTGTTGCAAAAATACCCAATAAAAATGTTTTTCATGTGTACTAAATGTTGGGTCGGGTAGCCTCTAGACAAAACTGTAGTTAGCAGAGGAACGAATAAAGGTTTATTCCATGCTGAAAAGAGAAGAAACGTTGTTTCCTTTTTTCTCTTTTCAGCGTGGAATAAACCTTTACTTGTTCCTTTGCTGCCTACGCATGCTGAAGCAGCTACCTACTAAAACTGTAGTTAACCTGTTTTGTTTTGTGATGAACACTGCCACCTTATAGCACTATAAAACAGAGATGGTAACAATAGTGAGCAACTGTTTCCTGTTAGTTTGAGACTTTAGCAGTAACAATACTGTCTGTTGTCAGACAGGGGCCTGTGAAAGCCAAGAACACTCGTGCAGTACTCAGCATCTCCCTGCCCCCATGAATTGAAACACTGAAGCTGTATCGGTGCTTAATCTTACTCATGGGACTCAGGATTATACTTTCTCTCAAAGGCTTATAGTAATTGGTTGCTGTTGCAAAAAAAAAAGAGCAAATGTTGAAAAGTGTAGCTGGTGAAACTTTTATCAGTAAAACAAATTCTAGAAAACATACTGAGTTTCATATTTTAGATAGATAAGACTTTATTGATCCCGAAAGGAAATTGATGTGTTACAGCAGTCCATCCCATCAGAATAGACACACAAAAAATATGTACAGCAATACAAAATAAACATAAAATAATTAAATAAAAATATATAGGTGTGTGCAAAATATGCTCATAGTCACTGTAAAAACAATAAAATATGTGCAAAATGTGCATAGGTTTATACAGATTGGGTGTCCCAAAAAAAACTACAATGGAGCAACATGCTGTCCACAGACGAGCAAATTAAGGGCTAGGAGTCCTAGCCTAGGGCAGTGTTACACACCCTGACACAACACAGAGCCAGCCTTCTTGATAAGTTTATTGAGCCTATTTGCATCTCTTGTCATGATGCTGCTGCCCCAGCACACAACAGCATAGAAGATGGCCACTGCCACTGCTGATTCATAAAAAATGTGTAGCAGTGTTTTACACACACCAAAGGACCTGAGCCTCCTAAGAAAATAGAGTTGGCTCTGACCTTTCTTGTACAGGGCGTCAGTGTTACCAGACCACTCCAGCTTATCATCCAGGTGTACCCCTAAGTACTTGTAGGACTACACCCCCTCTATGTCCTCACCCTGGATGGAAACAGGGTTCAGCGGAGACTCATTCCTTCGAATGTCCATGACTATTTCTTTGGTCTTGCTGGTATTTAGCTGGAGATGGTTAAGATGACACCACTCCCCAAAGTTGGTAATCAAGCTCCTATATTCCTCTTCCCTTCCCTCTCTAATACACCCCACAGTTGCAGAGTCATCTGAAAACTTCTGCAGATGACATGCCTCAGAGTTGTACCTGAAGTCAGAGGTGTAAAAGGTGAACAGGAATGGAGCAAGGACAGTCCCCTGTGGAGCCCCAGTACTGCTAACAACCTGTTCGGACACACAGCTCTGTAGCTGTACATACTGTGGCCTGCAGGTCAGATTGTCTATAATCCAGGACACCAGGGGAGTGTCCACCTGTGCCACCCTTAGCTTATCTCTCAGTAATGGTGGATGGATGGTGATAAAGGCACTGGAGAAGTCAAAGAACAAAACTCTCACAATGCTTCCCGTCTTCTCCAGGTGAGAGTTACCTCTGTTTAGCAGATAGATGACTGCATCCTCCACTCCCAAGTGTGACCGGTAGGCAAACTGCAAGGGGTCCAGTGCTGTACTCACCAGGGTTCTGAGGTGGTCCAGTATAAGCCTTTCCAGAGTTTTCATTAGGTGTGATGTTAGTGCCACTGGTCTGTAGTCATTCAAGATTTTAGGGTGCATCTCTTTGGGTACTGGCACCAGGCAAGATGTTTTCCAGAGCACCGGAACCCTTTCTAATCTCAGGCTGAGGTTGAAGATGTACTGCAACACTGAACCATGTTGGTCCGCTCAGATATTTAGCACCCTAGAGCTAACACCGTCTGGACCCGCTGCCTTCCCTGCATGGAGTTTCCTCAACTCCCTTCTGACCTGGTCAGCTGTGATGGATAGGCCAAGGAGGGCAGGGGAAGATGGAGTAGGAGTGTGAAGTGTTCATACATATACATCAGTTGAGGGAAATAATTCTAGTTGTAAAGAATGGCTGTTTTTTTACAGGTCAGGCACACTTAAATGGACTGCTTTAAACCCTTCGGAGTAATGGATATATTCTATTGGGGAAAAATGTGGTTCATAACCCTGGTCCTGGAGGCACACTGTCTGCTGGTTCTTAATCACATGCTAATTGATTACAGTTTTCTGGGGTGTGCAGTACAGTATTTGTAAATTTGCTTTAAACTCTTAAAAGGTCAAAAAGGATTTGAAATTGACATCAATTTTTGAGTTCTCTCAGAACTTCCCTTATTCAGGTGTATTACCTGAAATGTAACCAGGAGGACCTGTACAAAAGAAAAAAGTATTGTGTGTGTGTGTGTGTCAAGAACAGTGTTGTAGTTTTATTTTCACCCAAGCAGTTGGTCAGTTAATAAGAGCTGTTCAGTCAAAACAACTGCAAGCAAGTTGAGGAGAGGCTGTGTAAAGTTCCGTGTGCTGATGTTGTTGGAAACAGTACCCTTAAAGTAGATTATTTTTACAGTCAGAACTGACCAAAGAAGCAAGTTAAATAAAAAAGTCAAAATCACCAAGCAGATCAATTAGGTCCCCAATTAACACTGGCGCAGCTGGAATGAAAACCAACAGCCACCAGCATTCCTCCAGAGTTGGGAACAGGCAAAGTTCTGCATCAGCTTGGTTGGTTCTTCCAAAGAGTGATGCATCTGGTCCAGATATTTTATTATAGATGAAAACTACCTTGCTTGATCCCAGATGATATTAGAAAATAATCCACTTAAATAGACTGTGTATGCGGCTGTTTCATCTCTGCTGTGTACAGTTTTCTGTACAATTCTAGAAACATAAGAACGATGCCAAGAAGAAGAAGGCTACATGGTAAATTGAAGCTATCTGATGCTAGGAATTCCCCATCATCTCATCAATCCCAGAAAATCTGCTTCAGTAATGGCTGTATACAGTAGTTCATTGCCCACTCCTACAACTCTTTGTAAAAAACATTGCTCTGAGTCATTAATACACTTCCTGATCATTTCCGCTTCTGACCTCTGGCCTTACCAGCTTTAGTGGTGAATCCTCTTGAAGTGTCTGTGAGAGAAAGCAACAGGTTTCCACAGCAGCATTTGTTTTGACAATCGGTACTTTATCAACAGCAACGGGCTCTGATTCATTCCGAAACATTCAAGGACAAGACTGCAGGATCCTGTTTTAAAATTTAACAAATTGCACAAGGCAAAATGTGTAGGTGTTAGAAGAGATGAAGCCAAGGCAGTTTATCTACTCTCACCTAAAGATAAGCCTGTGCTTACTGTAGTTAGGAAGCTCCACATTGCCCTATTGTATTGAATAAAGCTGTGGGCATTTCGTGACTCAGATGCACTGTTCTTTTCGTACTTAGGGAGGCTGCTGGTTTGTTTTATCCCTTTGTTGATCTTTCAGCACTTGTCTGATGCCCTTTACTAGAAAGATGTGTGATCATCTAGTTGGGAAACCAGTTAACCAAGTTGGCTTTAGCCAACATACTGTAGTATGTTTTATGACATACAGTACTACAGTAACTGCTAATTGGGCACTAATATGCTGTATCAAAGAAAGAATGGAGTAAATTGATTAAATCTACTATACAGTAGTACTGTTCCTAGTACTACTGCTAGTGCCATTCCTGCATATCATCATCATAATAATAATCAAATTTGCAAACAAGTTAGTGTTATTGGTCTTAAAAGTAATTAAGTACTTAAGTATTTTTCTGCCACTTGAAAAAATGTTGTAATGGAATTTCGCATTGCTAATGGTCCTGGGTTTTTTGTGGGGTCAGTGACTCCATTGCAGGGCCTTGGGTGACCTCTGACCCTTTTTTTGAGGACTTGTCTTAATTGTGAGTATCCCCCCTTGGACCCCAGTTGTGACTACTTTGCTCTGCCATTCCAAAAATCAGACTCTTTGAAACCTAAGCAAGACCTCAGCCCTCATGAATGATTTACAGAAATGAATGTCTGTGGAAGGATTAAAACAAGCACAGAAATTTCAAAAGGGTGGTAAAGGAGGCTTTCATGCATGTCTTGCAGAAAAGCTGCAGGGTTTTTGTAGTCTGAGGTCTGCAAATTCCTACTTTGACCTCTGATCCCGTTTCACAACAGCCTGCCTTGCTCCTGTTGGCTAGTATTTGGGATTTGTCACCCTCTCGGCCTTTTTCTGTATACAGTTGTTACACTTCAGTAAAGGGTCGTGCTAAAAATAATAATTGAAAAACAAAAGAGTTTCCATGAGAGGCCTTTTCTCTTGCAGCTGAGAAAGTTCTCTCTGTTAAGAGCTGGCATAATTTCAAAACCGATTCATAGTGAAATTCTGGATAAACAGGAATGTTGTTGCCGTAGAGTATTTAATTT